TGCTGGAATATTGCTAAAGGTGGCGTAAAATCAAACTCAGCATCAGTCAGTCAGACATCCATCAAGTATCAGGATAGTACAGAACAGTGAGGTCTAGTCTTGCAGAAATGGGTTTCATACATTGTACCCATGTGGGGAATCGAAATCGGGTTCTCGGCGTGACGGGCGAACGCTTAACCCCTAGACTACCCCTCCGCCCCCAGTACATAACAAATAACAGCCATTGTCAACACTTGGCATTAATTAATGTAATTGGGTAATAGATTAAAACCATTTAAGTTGTACTCACAGTTTCCGATGTCACACGTGTTTGCACTAGCTCCCGTGTGTTCCTTCTACAATTATTCTTAGCCCGTGATTCCTACTAAGTGACGGACAAGGGTGTCTAAGCTTTAAAGGCAATTCAACGTGCATGAGAAATACCACTCCTGTTACATAGCTGAGGATCATTCGGTGCGTAAGAGGCATTCGAGGACCCGTGAAGATCCGGGTTAGAATTAGAATCTTCAGTAACCCATGCTGGTCGTAAGAGGTGACTAACGGGATCGGGTTGTCAGGCTCGCTGACTTGGTTGACTCAATGTCATGTCATCGTTTCCCAGTTGCGTAGATCGACGTTCATGCTGTTGATCACTGGATTGTCTGATCCAGACCCGATTTTTTACAATGAATGGGTGAGTGAGTTTAGTTCTACGCCACATTCAGCAATATTCCCGCTATATGGCGGCGGTCTGTAAATAAGCGAGTCTGGACTAGACAATCCAGTTATGAAGAGCATGAGCATTGATCTGCGCAACTGGGAACCGATGACATGTGTCAACCAAGTCAGCGAGCCTAACAACTTGATCCTCTTACGACAAGGATGTTTTACAGACCGCCGTCATAAAGCATATTGCGGAGTGCGGCGTATAACTAAAATCACTCACTCGCATTCGAGTATGAATAAGTTATAACGTTTTGATTTATGAAAATGAGTCATAATATCAATTATGCATAAATACATATGTGCGTGCTGAGAACACATAATGTGGTAAACTGTGTGTCAATATATTTAAATAAATTAGTTAATACAAGTACACTGTCTGCAATTCGTTCAAAATCAGCCAATTGAACCAACGTAATGTTTCCGTTTATATATACCGATTCGGCCTAGAATATAATGTAACAACGATTGTATTGATGTACTCTTGTATTTACCGAGCTGTTATTCACCTTAAATAATCATTATATAGTTCAACAATTTTAATAGTTATTAACAATTTACTGTTTTAGTCAGGTGAAAGGAGTGTCAAGATTATTTCACCTGTATATACTTGTGTCTTTGTCTTTGTGTGTGCGCGCGCGAGTCTGTGTGTGCGTCGTGCGTGCGTCTTATACGTTACATCACTAACCTGCTAAGTTAAAATACCATTTACTTTTAACTTTTAACTTTTAACATGATTATACGCTCAGATACATTATTCTGCCTACGAGCCCAAAAGTCCTGAATTATATTGTCACATCATATAAAAGAATCAGAAAGATACAAAAGTGTCCCTCTTTCGTTATGGCATCGATTATAAAATTGGAAATGACTCCTTCTAAGACATACACTTGAGACCCTGCCGACAACGCATTTCATATTAAATACAAACATGTAAACATTTAACTGTAAACTCAAAGTGTCGTTTACGGAATTTCATACGGGCAATATAGAGCACGAGTTATATAACTGTACATTGGTACCGGACCGCCTCCGTAGTGTAGTGGTTAGAGCGTCCGCCCGGAGAGCGGAAGGTCGCGGGTTCGATCCGGCGTCATACCAAAAGACGTTAAAATATGGTACTTGTTGGTCCCTGCCTGGCGCTCGGCATTATTGGGTACAACAAGGACTGGTCGGCTCGGAGTCAGTATAATTTGTCTGAGTGGGGTATTCATGCTTCACTGTGGCATGGTATCTCAGTGAGCTAGCACTATAAAACCAGCTTAAGTCTGGGCTAGTACAAGCAGCCGCACATACACATACACACGCATGAACGTCGTCATATGAGCGAAATATTCTCAAGCACGACGTTAAACCCAATTTCACCTCACCTCACATTGGTACTGGCTCTGAATACGTTTTTCATCTCGCTTAAATGACGGAAAGTATGCCAAATACAAATTTCTGAGATACATTAATGAAGGGAACACGTATCCTGCACAATATTAGGGTTCTCATTGGACAAGAGCATCGAAATGTGTTTCACATCTACAATAAGCTATAGGTCGTCTCACCGCCATGAATACAGATAACCAGAGTGAGAAATTCCGCCACCATCACTATCATCATGTCACGAAACGAGCAGGAACAGACTCGGCAGCCAGAGTGGAAGAATGAAGATGCTCTTGCATACAAACGGAATGCCTCTGCATTTCAAAGAGGGATCTCCACGTACGAGGTCAATGAATATTACTCTCAGTACTGTCATCAATATGAAGAGGTGAGAGATATGGACAAATATTGTAGCTCATCGTATTCATTTCTTTAATTTTAAAACTAAAGGTTAATGAGGGTCGGTGGTTGGGATTGTAATCAACGTATTTGCCCCATATGTAATATAGGAACAGAAGATTAATTCCAATTTAATATACTTATATGTGAATGTTATATCAACTTAAGAAAATGTTATTTAACACAAATGTACTACGATAATCCGTTTACCGATAAATTTCAACAATTCTTCTCTTCTACATCAACTGAATTATTAAATAATCTTTGCAAATATTTATGTTTGAGGTTTGGGCTAAGGCATCGGCTGGTTAATAGATAATATATTTTCATCATACCTCTTTTGCTATATTATTATAAGTTATCACATCGTGTCTCGGGAAATACGGGGTTTCATCAGTCCCGAGTAAGGTTGAGGGGAATACAACCTTACGAGGGACTGATAAATCCCCGTATTTCCCGAGACACGATGTGATAACGCATTTATCTAGACGAATGTTTTGCTTCAATTTCATTCTCAGTTGTTGTGGCAAAACGTTTCCTTGCTGCCATGTTGACAACAGCTGATCGATTGAGGTGAGGTGAAATTGGGTTTATCGTCGTGCTTGAGAATATTTCGCTCATATAACGACGTGCATGCGTGTGTATGTGTATGTGGGGCTGCTTGTACTAGTCCAGACTTAAGCTGGTTTTATAGTGCTAGCCCACTGAGATACCATGCCGCAGTGAAGCATGAATACCCCACTCAGACACATTATACTGACTTCGAGCCGACCAGTCCTTGTTGTACCCATTAATGCCGAGCGCAGGCAGGGACCAACAAGTACCATATTTTAACGTCTTTTGGTATGACGCGGTCGGGGATCGAACCCGCAACCTTCCGCTCTCCGGGCGGACGCTCTAACCACTACACCACGCTGATCGATTGACCTCAATGCAGCGCACGTTACTAAAGGCTTGGCGATGCACGCTTTTCTCACTTCGCGTGGTCACCGAGGCGTTGCGGGATAATATGACTTTTGTACTCCCTGCTCGCGGATCGTGACGGGTGTACATGGTATGTTATCGGAGTCACGTGAACCAATCAAAACTCGGCATTCTGACATGAGGCTTGATAAACGTGTTTTATAATGTATCTATGCTATACTCATCATTATAACAATTATCTGTATGTTTGTATATGGGCCTGAGGCCTTCATACGAAATAAAAGACTTGACTTGACATTTCTATAATTTTGAAGTCATAAACATAAAGTAGATGAGTCAGATAGGAATACCAAGAAGTTTGTTTTGTTGTCTAAGCACTCGGCTATGATCTGTGAACAATTAAGTTTGAATCACACAATGCCGTGATTGACATCATGAAGTCACGAGGTCACTGATCGAAGTCATCCATGTAATTCATTTACCTCTGGGGACCTATATTCTTACGTTTTATACATGTTATGATATCACAATTGATTACGTATTTTCGCCCACTGAAGTTATTAGAAGTTATTAGAATATACAGAAACAATGTAATAACAATACGAAAATTGACAAAATCTTCTGTACTTTTGTAGACTTGCAATTACAGTGAAACCTGCCAACACTGGCACCTGTCTAATCCGGCGCCTTGTCAAAACCGGCACAAAAGTTTGGTCCCGCTATTTTACAAGGATATTATGATCATTACAACATTGTCTAATCCGGCATTTGTCTATTCCGTATTCCAGCACGACTTTCCGGTCCCAACAAGCAATTTTAACTGTAATTATCACCGGTTTACGGCATGGGTATGAGCAGTCCAATGAAGGACCGATATTCCAATACACTAATTAATCATCTTGGCACGCTACTTTACTTCAGACATATTTAGTCTGACATGCATAACCAAGTCAGCGAGCCTGACCACCCAATCCCAGTCGTTTCCTCTTCCGACAAGCATACGGTATTAAAGAACAATTTATAGACAGATAAGTAAATATAAATGATAAAGGATGATAATACTATTCTATCTTCGTTTCTGCGGCCCTATAGCTTGTGATTTTAGACTTGCAAATGTCATCTTAAGTCGAATCTTCCAGTCGTTCTAGCTGCTGTGGGAATGTGTGTTCAAGGACAATATCACAAATAAGTAGAATTTGAAGAGTGACGATGGTTTTACGCCGCTTTTAGCGATATTCCTGCAATGTCACGGGGGGCGCACACCCGTAATGGGCTTCACACATAGATGGTCACCGAGAGTCTTGGATTGGTGACTATGTTTGGCTCCTGAGTGTTTCTAAGACTTTTGTCTTATACCAAATGACAGGTGACACATGTGGTCTCACCTCAGGAAAGTGTGTTTGCCTGCCTCTCTTCATCCAGTGGAAATGGGTACCCGGTGGGATAAGTCCTATGACTATCAAAATTCTGTCGCCTCACAGTCAGGTTGGGTTATCCGGGATAATAATGTTCAGACCATACCCTTGCTGTGTGGCGTTCAGCAGTTTATAACTGGCCATATTACATACTGTTACACATTTATTTTACTTCATGTTGGCGTGAAGGATCTCCGGCCAGGACGGTACAACGGTCCCCGGATAGCTGCTGATGCTGTGGCCCGCTACTACCCCCGGGACAGGTACCAGAAGAAGGTCATTGACATTGCTGCAGGGACGGGATTTGTGGCTGAGAATGTAAGTATAAATTGGGGACCAGGGGCCGTTTTTATCAAACAACTTAAGTCATTAAAGACCTTAAATCCGTTAAAAAATGTCGTTTTCTCGGTTTTTCAAGACTAAGTTTTGTGGTAAAACTTTAGTCATACATGTATTTATCAACAGACTTAGAGTTAAGTTTTGTCATTTTCTGATTTAACCATTAAGACTCACCTTGCTAGAGTCGTAATCCATAAATAAATAATACGGTCCCAGGTTCATTGCTTTCACACACATTCTAAGCATTTTCATCTATTTTAGGCCTCAATTTGTGATATAAACATGTGACATGTATACAGTCATTAAATATAGATATACTGAGATTTGTTCAGATAAGAAGCATGGATAACCGAGTCTCAATACAAAACCAAAAATTATTATAGTTCAGTCATAACACATTTTCGAAGATAATACACTTAATGAAAGCCTTAGAGAAGTCGGCTATTACTGCGTTTCAGCTGAAGGCCCGTGGATTTCAGCACATTGACGCCCTTGAACCATCGGCCAGTATGATTGCCATGGCAAAGAAGAAAGGCTTGTATGAAACATACTATGAAAACATGCTAAATGATGACCCTTTGAACATAGAAACTGGTGAGCAGTTGGTTATATATACTGAACAACATTAGAAACGCACCACACTAAAATGCACCGACGATGCTCAGATATCATGGGGACATTTCAGTCTGACGGGGATATTTCGTATTATATGGGTGGTGCGTTTCTAATGTTGTTCAGTATATCTAAATGTCTCCTTCAGTTGTAGCGTTGGTAAATAGTTCATGTGTTGCTTGTCTCAGGTGAACTAGCCTTTGCACATGTTTATGACGGGTGCCACCGGTGGGGCTGGTACGCTCACCATCCACGAATGGTGATTCATAAACACATGCTCTGTCATCGAATCTCATGATGTCAATCACTGGATTGTCTGGTCGAGACTCGATTGGTTCCAGACCGAGTCGTATAGCTGTAATGCTGCTAAACAAACATAGATCAGAATAGAATAGAATAGAATAGAATAGAATAGAATAGAATAGAATAGAATAGAATAGAATAGAATAGAATAATACTTTAATGCCTTTTCAGGAATTTGTGTTACATCAGCAGAGCTACTGACACATTAGAGAGATACCAAACATATTAACATAAATTCTTTGATTTAGGCATCTTCACATTTGTTTAAGAGAGATATGGTACTTGGAATAAAGGATGTACGGGCTCTCTTAGTTTTCACAATTGGAACTTTGTAGCGGCGGCCTGAAGGAGGTTGTATTCCGAATTTAAGTAGTGAGTACGGTCAGATATGATTTTGACAGCTTGATTCACGATTTGCCGCTCATATATTGACGATAAACATTCACATCTGACTCCAGCGATTTTACTTGCAGTGTTAACAATTTTGTCTATTTTAGATTTGAGATGAACTGAGAGAGACCCGTACCAACAATGGAAGGAAAATGTTAAAATACTCTGAATTGTGCAGTCAGAATTGTACAGCCGGCGTTCTAGTAAAAAACTGTATTTCATATTCAGACACCTACGACTGCGCAGTTAGTTGCGGTGGGTTTGGAGAAGGACATATACCTTGTGCCGGGATTAAAGAGCTCATTCGTATAACAAAACCAGGTAACAGTAAACCAAAGTAACAGTAAGCCAAACAACTAGTTTCAATTTACCAAATTCTGTGCTTATGTATCCAACTGGAACAAACAGTTATCGACAATTTCCGTGACCACAATGTCTCAATAAAAGGTATGAACATGTTCATATGGACATGAAAAGGATGAACTGTACGACCTGGGAGTATGTCAGATTACTTCCTCACAATGTCTTCTATGAGTATATATGAAACGGTGGCACAACCTCTGTCATTTCATTCATGACCAGCACCCAAATAATTTAATTTGATTTAATTTGATTTATTATTACTGTATATTTCCAGGTGGTATTGTCTGCATCGTGATGAGGCAATGTTATTTGATCGACGTGGAGGAGTACAAAGATCGGCTGGTTCCGTTCATGATCTCATTAGAAAACACAGGAATGTGGACAAGAGTTTCACGTCACGTCGTCCAAGACTATTTCATTGACCTTCCAGGGGTGGTCTTCTTGTACACAGTACAATGACCTGTACAGATGCACACAGACCTCCACAGGCCAAAGTGAATTGGTGCAAGTGAAGATGAATAGTATTTTTTCATAAATATGAATTCCAACATAGCAAGATACAGGATAACAATCATATTGTATCAAAATAAATATTAAATAGTGACGATACCAGTTTTTTATGCGATGCCACACCATGTCAATTCTATTCCTGACACGCACGTGAGGTTTTCATTGGCCACTCACGATCAGCAGAGCCTGGACAGAATATCAAGGTTCATCAGGGGTTCTGCAATAACAAAAAGACCGCAGTTTTATTATAGTCACGTAATCCAAATATGCAACGAATGCGTCCTAGGGCCATATGATAATGTGGGGTAAGTCACTAGTGACAGTGTCGCGCTGAGGTGGTGTCATGGATGCAACGGGCGATTGAAGCTGGTTTTCAACTTGGGGAAACCCTCGAATAGCTAACTTGAGAAGCCGGTCGAAATCCTCGTGTATTCATGGCAGTTAAGTTTTAAATTTAGGCCCGATCTTCAAAGTGTACATCCTGCTATCGGGGAATCTTTTATCCAAAGCAAACTGTATAGGTCTGGGTTAGAGTTGGTCTTCTATAACCCATGCTTGTCGTAAGATGCGACTAACGGGATCGGGTGATCAGGCTCGCTGACTTGGTTGACACATGTCATCGTGTCCCAATTGCGTAGATCGATGCTCATGCTGTTGATCACTGGATTGTCTGGCCCAGACTATTATTTACAGACCGCTGCCATATAGCTGGAATATTGCCGAGTGTGGCATTAAACAACCAGCCAACTAAACAACGTATGGTATGGATTTACAACTTCTTAAATATTTACAGCACGACGTTTCTGGGCTACTTCTTGCCCCTTCATCAGGTGAATGACAGAATATGATACAAGCAAAATATATAGTATATACAGGAAGCCAGTAAGATAGTATTACAGATTGAGATGTACAGAGATTAAGTGATGTGTTGAGATGAGATGTACAGAGTTCAAAGAGATTAAGTGGTATGTTTATGCAAAGGACGTGCAGAATGTTTATACAGTGTAAAGGATATACATGATAGGATTGATTGGAAGCCACTTATGAAAACAATGAATGATGATGGAAGCCACTTATGAAAACAACGATAGGAAAACACTTATATGAAAACACACATCAAAGCATGTGCAGTGATTAAGGGGAACAAGGGAAAACATGTACATTGAAAGGTTATTATTCTATGCACCATGCATTCGGTAGAAAAAACACCCTGATCCCTGTTGATTTCAGGTTTGGTGCGGTGGATCCAGATGGCCTCCATCAATTTCCTTTTCCGCCAATTGCTGAGTAGTGTAGTGGCGGCCAAAATGTCAGTGTCATCCCAATTGAGTATGGCTGGGATTTCTGATCACATGTTCTGATAACGCTGATTTAAAAGCCAGTGGTAAAGGAAGCTGTGAAACTACCCCTAACCCATGAGGATGTGTGTACAAATTGAAATGTACATGTGGCAGCACCTACATAGGTGAAACAGGCCGGCCTGTATGTACTCGTATGAAAGAACACAAAGCATCGGTGAAAAACTCGGACATGAAATCAGCGTTACCTCCCACCTTAAACCACCCACCCCCAATCTCACCATTAAACCCATACAAACCACCCTCAAAAAAACACTCTGCACCCCCCAAAAAACACTCTCACCATCACACCACAAAAACTGAACCAAAACCTCAACAATCTAGCAGAATTCATTATAGCATCAACACTTATGGAAAAACCTACAAGTCCAAACTCTATCACAAAAGTCTAGCCAGCTTACTCATTGCCCTTAAAAACCCCTTCTAAACCAAACATCACTAAGCTACTCTAGCACCTAACCCCACTTATTACAAATTCATGCCCCATTCCATGGTATTAATAAATTTCTTCTTCCAAATTACTATAACCATGGCGTTAATACAGTGGAATTGCAACGGTCTCCGAGTGCACGGAATGAGCTTAAGGCACTCATCGTCCAAAACAATTTTTTTATAGATTATAGCTCTGCAAGAAACAAAATTATCCCCCCCCAAAAAAAAAAACCCCCAACAAAAAAACACGCCTTCAAAATACCAGGCTATATTTACATTCGGAAAGACAGACTTCGGCCACCTAACCGCCTGGGCGCAGACGGTTTCTCAGATGCTGGAAGGTCAAGGCCATTCCACGCAGCGGTCGGTAGGCCCATACATGCCAGCAGGACGAAGTCGTCTTGTCACTGTGAATCGGCTTAAGCGATGACCCAATGATGTGGCTGCTGATGACGTCACCGTCAACATCCAGTTGCGTAGGTGAATAACCCGCAGATAGCGATCCTCTTGGGGTGTTGTGACTCTGGAACGTCCACTTCTGGGTCGATAACATGTCTGGCCTGTCGTACTGAAACGGTTTAACAGCCGAATTATGGTTTGTCTTGTGCAACCCAATGTCCTTGCAATATCGCTGTTGAAAGCATCCATTTGTGTAATTCCTTTGACCCATTCTCGTTGCGCCGACGTCAATCTTGGCATTTCCTCGTGAGATTTCTGTCAAGTGATTGTTCAGTCTTCACGACAAACAGGTTTTATACTCTCTGACAGAAAAGTGCTGGTGCATGAGGACAATAATCACAATTTTGCAAAAATTCGTGCAAAACACGTACAAATGATTTTGGTTGCATTTTGGCAAATAAAACATGATGTTTGCGTTCTATACAATCAATGTTTTTCAGTAATTTTATTAGTTAGAACGCATATTTGGGATTGCAACAACAATTACACCTGTGTACTTTCTTTTGCTCGTCAGTTTACAACACTGACATTAACACATTCAACAGCAACCTTACAAAGGCCATTCTAGACTTTACAGAGAAACGCATTCCCACTTTTCGATTTAACCCTGCACAAAACACAGTCCCATGGTGGAGCTCAGAAATTATGAACGCCAGAAAGGTAAGAAAAAAGGCTCTTAACCAATCAAAAAGGGACCGTTCCAAATTATATTTGGCTATAAAACTAAGAAACCAAACTAAAAACATTATCAAGGCAGCAAAAATAAACCATTGGAGAAAATTCTGTTCTACCCTAAGGCTAACTCAACGCAATACTAGGACACTGCTGAATAAATTAAAAGCCATTAAGGGCATTTCCCCCAAAAAACATCTCACCCAACTTTCCGGACCTAGCCACAAACAAAAATAAACCTAATATGTATTTGCTGCCCACTTTTCGACCACTAGCAGTTGCACAACTACCCACCACTCTTCCAAAACTTCTTCCAAAACCACACACACACACACACACACACACACACACACACACACACACACACACACACACACACACACACACACCCTACTCTCCTCAACCAGCACACACAGAACTCCCAATAAACAAGATCATCAACATACATGAACTCAAATCAGCACTTAAAAACAAACAAACAGCCTCAGCCCCAGGTCCAGATACCATTTCATACACAATACTTAACAAACTCACACCTAACATGCTAAACCTCACACTCACCCTCTTCAACCATATATGGACCTCAGGAACTATACCCAACACTTGGAAAACAGCCAGGGTGATACAAATCCTCAAACCAGGGAAACCCAATAATGAGCCTCACTCCTACCGCCCCATATCTCTCACCTATGTAAAACACCTGAAGCCATTATTAACAACAGGCTCAAACACCTGATTCAATCCAAACATCTCTCAAACACCTGAGTTTTATTCAAAACCAAACATCTCATTAAGGAGGACCAAAACGGCTTTACTCCAAACGGACAAACTTTAGACCACATTTTACATTTGGAACAAGATATTAAAGTAGCCCAGGCACAAAAACAATACACTATGGCCATTTTCATTGACTTCAGCAAAGTTTTCGACATGGTTTGGCACAACGGCCTCATGCAAAAACTTCAAAAACATGCCATACACGGAAGAGTTCTAAATTTCATTCAGTCATTCCCTAAATAATAGACATATAACCGTCAAATCTCACAACTCTAGCTCGGACCCTTATCATCTTGAAAATGGAACCCCCCAGGGGAGTATTCTGTCCCCAACTTTATTCAACTTCATGATTAATGACATATTCCCAGAAAAATGGCCTGAAATTTCCACTGCTAAATTCGCAGATGACATTTCCTTTTGGACATCTTCCACCTCTGTAAAACAAGCCACCACTAAATGCCAAAGAATGCTAAATTATATTCAAAACAACCTAGTTTTTCCTCTCTTTCCTTTTCTAAGTTCGGCCGTTTTATTATTTTTTCATCTCATGTTTTAAACGTTTTCATTCCAAATACACATAGGTTAAAGCCCCTACATTTAAATTTTTGGGTACGGTGGTTTATCCCCTATTACCAACTATTAATAATTTAAATTAAATCCCACCTACCCCGTCGGCGAAATTGGCGCCCGCCAGAAGCCGACGTTAAACCCTCCAATTCGTCGTCGTTCTGTCATTCACCTGATGAAGGGGCAAGAAGTAGCCCAGAAACATCGTGTTGTAAATATACTCTCCCAAAAAAGAAACGCATCATGAAAATAGCAATTTCATGTAGCAATGAATTAAAACGTGATTCATTTTACAAAAGGTTTTACTCTGTTTATGAGTCCTATGGTGTTTATGTTTTGAAACATCACAACAAAACGCACCATCCGTAAAATACCCGTATTTAACAGCATGATTTTCAATTTCGGCGTGTAGTGTCACAGAATACACAATTCACATGCAATGCACGTGAAAGTTGGGGATCAGATAGTCTCAATGATGGGTATGAAAGGTTGATCCATGTCTGTCCATTATTTACTGTATTTGGAATATTGTTGACGAGCGCAAAATGCCACGTCTAAGTGAAGCCAACCGTCATATCGCCATTGGTTTGCTTGAAGCTGGCCAGTCTCAACGTGCAGTTGCCCGACGCATGAATGTTCACCAAAGCACCATTTGACGGCTCTGGGAGAGATATCGCCGGCAGAATGCGGTAGCAGATGCCCCTCGTAGTGAGCGACCTCGAGCGACCACTGCGGCGCAGGATCGCTACATCCGGGTACATCACCTGCGTCATCGAACAGCTACGGCGACCAGTACCGCTCGACAAATACCCGGATTGAGGAGGCTTTCTGCACAGACCGTCAGGAACAGGTTGAGAGAGGCTGGTTTACGTGCCAGAAGACCTTATTTTGGCCCTGTGCTTCGACAACAACATCGTCGACCTCGAGTTCAATGGTGCACCAACGTTCAGGCCTGGAACCTACCGAATTGGCGTAGAATCTGGTTCAGTGATGAATCACGATTTCTATTGGAACGACGCGATGGAAGAATGCGGGTGTACAGACGTCGACGTGAACGTTTCACCGACGCTTGCGTTCCCCAGGTGGACAGATTCGGCCGGGACAGTGTTATGATGTGGGGAAAGTGTCGTAGGAGAAGTGATGTGGTGATGATCCAGGGCAACCTGACAGCTCAACGGTACTGTGACGAAATCCTACGCCCACACCTCCTTCCAATCATTGATCGCCAGAGGGAGTTGTTTCAACAGGACAATGCCAGGCCCCACACAGCACGTCACACTAGAGACTTCCTCCAGAACCACAACATCAATGTGCTCCCCTGGCCCTCAAGATCACCGGACTTAAACCCGATCGAACATCTGTGGGATGCCCTGGACAGACGGGTGCGACGCCGTAACCCTCAGCCCCAGACACTTCAGCAACTCGCACAGGCACTACAGGCAGAGTGGGCTGCGATTGGGCAACACGAGATTCCGAGACTTCCGCACCGATGCCGTGCAGTTCTAGATGCCCGTCTCGAGGTATTGACTTCAGCGTCACACGTCTCCATGTGACACTCAAACTGACTTTCCTCGAGTTGGTGCCAAAGACGGATCAATCTGCATTCCCAGTGTGCAATTTCGCTATATTTCATTGACTCATAAAGCCTACAAGATGTTTCAAAATAAACATAAAAATACAGTGAAATTCCTATATGCGTTTCTTTTTTTGGGAGAGTATATTAAAGAAGTTGTAAATCCATACCATACGTTGTTGTGTTACCTCCCAACTTCTAAATACCCGTTAAGTATCTGAACGAACCAACTTTCATCCAAAGCGGTCAACTTAAAGGGGATTCAAATCTAATGATTAATCTATTACAGACTGAATGATACAAATTTTAGTCACACTTGCAACCTGCTGACAGTGCTGTTACTTGGGCCATTGAGGCTATCCATACTCAATTATATGCAAAATGTTATCTGCCGTGTAATATTGACTATAGACCTTTAAAACCATTTGAGATGCTGAATATATAATTTCAGCATTTTGGTAAACGACAACCCTCCGCTTGATTGACATGCGTGAAATTAAATGTAAAAATATGTCCCAGAACGTACAATTACACACACCTGCTGCATTTCAAGTACTTGGCAAACATGAGATGTAAATATGGTCTGAATTCCCTATTTTACAGACTGACGTCAAATAGGTGTAATATCGCTGAGTGCGACGTTAAATAGAATCAGAGCTACGGATAACTTTTTGGGCCATTGAGTTATGTACTCGCTTGTGTTCATCTCAATTGGGTATCTTCATTTTCCTTTGAGTAACCAAATAAACTGTACTCACCTCGCTCAAACTCAATTGGGTATTTTGCCATTTTCCATTAATTTTAAAAATATAATAAAGTTTAAATGTTACTGTTTGTTATTTATATTTGATCTGTAATATGAGAAACGATAAGAAAGACTGCAAGTTGTCACTTTCATGTCCTGAAATACAACCACTCAATATACCTAAGTTATTTTATCTATCCACCGGTACCCAAGCTATGGTTTGACATTTTTGTGTGTACGCATGTAAGATCACATTTATTAAGTATTTAAAAAAATTCAAGCGTACTTGTACGCAATAGACTTAATAGGAATTGAGTTTTCAAATAAATATTTGCGTAATTTACGCAGATACGCAGCTTATCTGCACCTCTGTATAATTGTAGCTGCGTAAAGCCATATTCACTAACTCACGACGTATAACTAAATATGAGTAAATATATGTCTCTTGGCCTCGACAGAACCTGGCAGATGTTTTAAGATCATACAAATTCACTATATATTTGGATACAAATGTGTAGAAAAGGAATATTAGCGTTTTCATTCCTGTAGTTTTTATAAAAATTAAATGTATTCAAGCGCAACATGTTTACGGAATTTTGCAGCGATACTCCAGGTTCTTAACAGAGGATGTTTGGTTCCAATTAGTGAGGGAGTGAGTTTAGTTTTGGGCCACACACAGCAATATTCCAGATGTATGGCGGCCGTCTGTAAATAATCAAGTCTGGACCAGACAATCCAATGATCAACAATATGAGCATCGATCTACCCAGTTGGGATACGATGACATACGTCAACCAAGTCAGCGAACCTGACCGCTCCATCCCGTTAGTCGCCTCTTACGACAAGCACGGGTAACTGAAGATCAATTCTAACCGGTTCTTCAGGGGTGGTTCCAATAAGGAACAATGCAATCTCGAAGTGTAGTAGTCTTATCACCAATTCAGTTAAATTCAGTGAATAGCATGTGGTAATGCCACGCCTTGGAAAAATGAACTTGCTCTCGGAGTATCTTCGGATGAGTTCTAATCATGTAAGTTTTGTTTGGTCAGTCGGTTTCGTCAGCGCCATAGACTTGCTCACAGGCTCTACCAAACTAGTGAACGTCAAAACCCGACATTACTTCGGGAGTTCCTCCCACATTAAGCTGACACGCCGTGGTGAGGAAACCGGAAAACAGTTGAAAGGAACGCCGAACCAAACTCGCCCCCATAATTGTTACCCGTGATGGTCTGGTTTAGAATTGGTCTTGTCGTAAGGGGCAATTTACGGTGGTCTTGCTCGAGTTTTATTGACACATGCTGACGTATCCCAAGTGTGTATATCGTGTGTTGATCATTGGATTGTCTGGTCCAGACTCGATTATTAACAGACAGCAGCCATACAGCTGGATTACTGCTAAAGTCGGCGTTAAACAACCACCCAACAAACAACTGCTGCATCAATGGTATTTTACAGCCGCTTCTATGTAGAAGGCGTTACCTCCCTTGATGATTGTGCAATCCTTTATCGGTGATATCGCTGAGTGGTCTGTGACTGAAACACCCAGAACACGCCACCCCCAAAACATTCCCATTAATCGTTATGTCTGCCTCACACACCGACGACCGTACACCGACGTTGTTCCGTGACGACTATAATGACAAGTTCTCGCCAATCGCTTACTTGACTTACTACTGGAGCAACGACCGCGTTCAACAAGACTGGTTTCAGTTTCAGCTCGACGGCGGCTACAACTACCTCAGACACGGTGAGACCACAACTACAACATTGAAAAATCCAGAATTACACAAGAATATATTGTACAATCAAGAAATAGACGTTTGATTTTCTTCGACCCATCCTGGACTTCACCTCCCCACACAGAGGCGAAGTTTGTGGTTGCGTTGTTCGCACATACTGCTCAGAGTTGCGTCCCTTTAGAACAGTAAAACAATCGGATGTTGCCTCCATTGGGTATTTCAGTCAATTTCTGACCAAAAATCCACGTGTTCACTCTCGTCATTTCGGTGACTTGTGATATTTATTAACGCTTATCAGTGGAAAAATATAGATCGCGATTAGTATGTTTTATGAAACTATTTTGATCTATACTGAACTATTTGCTCCCAAAGCCGTCTATGATTCTCCCACCTTTGGCAATATCACTAATGATAATGACAAATAATTTATCATAATCCTAGAGGCTATCTCGGGGACGAGGTTGCTTGATCTTGGGTGTGGTCCTAACCTCGGCAGCATGATTGGCGCCCCCGACCACTTCACCCACATCGTCATGGCGGACTTCTCGCCAGCCAATCTTGAAGTCATCAAGGGATGGGTACGTGGTGATGACGTCAACTTCAGCTGGAGCCACGTGTGCCAGTACTACGTCAAACAATTCGCACTAGAGTAAGTAAATATAAGAATCGAGAATCTTCACTGTTTTTCTTAAATGGGACGGAATGGGGTAGCCTAATGGGTAAAGCGTCCGCTCGTCACGCTGAAGATCCGGGCTCGGTCCCCAACATGGGTACAATATGTGAAGCCCATTTCTTGTGTCTCCCCACCGTGATATTGCTGGAATATTGCTACAGTGGTGTAAAACCGTACACACTCACTCACTCTCCATCGACTTGTGGTATTTCTAAACTCCTGGAGATATTCTCCATATTCCAGACTGTTCAGGGATAGTCAACACTGAAAGCCCCAGCCCCAGAGCACAATAACTTTAGTACAAATCAAACTTTTCCTTTTCCATGCTTTTCTACTTTGTTTCTTTCTTTAAACTTCGCTCGCCACCTTTTACTGAAATGTGTATTCAAAATTTTGCTTTTCTCGTAAGTCATTGTAGATGTTTTATGTTCATATCTTCAGCTTGCTGTATAAGTTGCTTTCCTCACTCCAAACATCTGACCGCGCTGTTGTCTTCTTCCAGTCCAGCCTTCGAATCCACTCGACTGCCTTCGCTGAAAACCTACATCAAGGACGTCGTTCAGTGTGATGTGTTACAGTCGGAACCTCTCGGGTCTTCTTATACGGGTTTTTTCGACTGTGTATTCAGCAGCTATTGTCTCGAAACAGCATCTCGGGACATTGACACCTACAGACGAAGTGTGCTGAATGTCTCATCTCTTCTCCGGGATGGCGGCCATTTTGTGATGCGGGGTGCCTGTGGAGAACACTGCTACCCAGTTGATGGGCAAAACTTCCATAGCCTTGCCTTGAGCCCAGGTCAGTTGACGACGGCCTTGACAGATGCGGGGTTAAAGGTCAAGGAACTCAAGATAGAAGGGGTAGACGACCCTGATGCAGCTGACGCCAATAAAATACATGGCTATTGTGTCCTGGCTAAGAAAGTGGGCTCATAAACCATTCAGCATAACAAACACAATAGATATATCAATATAATGAGATTTATTGTCTCAGCTGGGCATGGCATCAAGGTACCTGATGATGTCTCGGCGTAATAAAGACAGCAACTGAATATGATGGGAACTCGTGAAACAAAGAGTTTTCTAGACCGATCCTTTTCCATTCATGTTTAATAAAACAACAAGTAGTTGCTATGTTGTGATCCGTTCAGTAAAGACTTCAATGGTGATGGTGTGTCAGGGTGGGTCTGAAATATTTGTGAACGGGTGGATTTCCGTAAGACGTGAATAATTTCACACTTGAAATACGTTCCTGTTTGGTGATGAACATTTGAATGTCTGTCAACAACGTTCGTCATCTTTGCGCCATAAAAAGTCCCTAAAAGCCGGCAATCAAAATTGAGTTTGGACCAGACAATCCAGAAAGTGGCCTCATGAGCATCGATCTGCTCTGTTGGGGTACGATGACATGCATCAGCCACGTCAGCGACCCTGACCACCCTATCTCTTAAGTATCTTTAGCATGAGCTGCTGAAGGCCCACCACTTTATTCAGCTGCGGGCACTGCTATTGCAACTGAACAGTGCTTTATAATTATATTGTTCATTGATAGTCAGACCTTGTTGCAGAGTCGTATGTCATGTGAATTTCGGGTTAGAAATCCTACCTATCAATCTTTGCTGGTCGCAAGCGGCGCTGGTCACGATAGCGATGTGCTTTCAGTGCATGTACTTATAACCCCGGATGGTTTCCCAATTGTATCCATTTTCGCAGCAGTTCAGTCCAGTCAATTCTCTACCTCGCCCCACTCAGACACAGTACGACCCGTGAAGATCCGGGTTAGAATTGATCTTCAGCAACCCATGCTTCTCTTAAGAAGCGACTAACGGGATCGGATGGTCAAGCTCGCTGACTTGCTTGACACATGTCATCGTGTCCCATACGCGAAGATCGATGCTCATGCTTTTGATCACTGGCTTTTTCTGGTTCAGATTCGATTATGTACAGACCGCCGCCATATAGCTGGAATATTGCTGAGTACTGCGTTAAACAACAACCGATCAATCAAACTTTTCTTTTATGCTGGACTTCGTCAGTGGTGTAGTGGATACATCGTGGATCTGTAGCCACTTATTATTGAAAGACGTAAGATAAGCTATTTGTTGTTTCCCTGCTTGGAGCTCAGCATAACGGAGATAAACCCAGGACCATTCGGGTCGAGGTCAGTATACATATACTGTTCCTGAGTTGGATATATGCTTTACAATATCAGACCGGCACTAGTCCAGATTGGTACGAGTACACACACACGCACTTACAAACATGTCGGTATGTAGGTACAACACCTTCTCACTCGGGTGCGGCGGTGAGGTAGTCTTGTGGTTCAAGCGTTTGCATGTCAAGCCGAAGACCCGAGTTCAACTCCCCACTTGGGCACAATGTGTTCCAACCAGTTCTGGTGTCCCCCGCCATGATACTGCTGAAATATTGCTAAACACTCCGTGTTGTTTTTTAATTTTTAGCATTTCATTTTATTTATTTATGGGTGTGTTGTGTCGTGTGTGTGTGTGTGTGTGTGCTTGCGTGTGTGTGTGCGTGTGTGTGTGTGTGTGTGTGTGTGTGTGTGTGTGTGTGTGTGTGTGTGTGTGCGTGTGTGTGTGCGTGTGTGTGTTTTGTTTACCCGTGCTCGTGCTCCCCCCAGAGATGTTTATTGCATGGTCTCTGGTTCCACCAAACCAGTGAACGTCTAGGACCTTCATTACTTCGGGAGCTCTTCCCACATTGAGCGGATCTGTCTTGATGTCTGTCATACAGACCCTGAAGCAAATATATCTAAGAAAGCCCATGCAAGTCTAGAACATGTGGCAAGTCTAGATTTCCACAGCTTCAGTCTCAGGGCTCCTTTTCATTATATTTTATTTGTTTTTACTATGAGCTTTTTTCTGTAAAAAATGTTCATTTCAGAGACAAGTTGTTGGTCTAACTGAATTGCACAAATGTTGCATGTTATGGCATTTTATATACGCTTTTATGCAGAAGGAGATACCTCCCTTGATAATTGTGCTATCCGGTGTCAGTGATATCGTATGTGAAGTACAGCTGTCACCGACTGAAACACCCAGAACACGCTACACACAACACATCCACATTGATCGTCATGTCTGCCTCACACACCGACGAACAACCACCAACGCTGTTCCGTGACGACTACAAAGACAAGTTCTCGCCAGTCGCTTACTTGACTAACTCCTGGAACAACGACTGTGTTCAAGAAGACTGGTTTCAGTTTCAGCTCGACGGCGGCTACAACTACCTCAGACACGGTGAGACCACAACTAGAACATTGGACAGACGTTAGATTTGTTTTCTGTCACCCACAGGGAAAGAAACCTTTCAAAATTTCCCACTAGACCAGTGAGTGGACAATGATTAGTAGTCCTGTTTTTACTTCACTAGTCCAAAATAATATTCGTAGATTTACTTAACTATCAACACAAAATTCAATGGCCGCCAGGACCACTGCAAAATTATCATTTAATGGTCCTGATGAATCTTTACTAGCCAGGGACCACAGGACCAGCGTAAATTTCGCACACTGCACCCTGGACCTGACCTGCCCACATGCAGAGAGGTGAATCCGAAATCCGCGAGTGTTTGCGTTGTTCTCGCAACCTGCACAGAGTTGCGTCCCTTTAGAACAGTAACGCAGTCAACCGAAAAGAGATATTTGAGTCAATTTGTGTCGGAAACCCCACGTGTTATCCGCGTCATCTCAGTTCAAATCGGAATTCTACGTGTAAAGGAAAACACCCTGGTATCATTATAGCAACAACAGAAACAGAAGAGATGAAAACAAGTGTGTTGAAATGCATAAAGAACCTTATGTCTCACAAAACCTACAGCAATGTATACATTGAAAATGACATTCCATTAGAAGCGAGAAGATCAGAGGCAAACATGAGGATGTTATTGAGGGAAGTTGGCAAGAATGAGATACTCATGTTTAAATCAGGCAGATCGGTCAGAAGAGAAAAGGACCAAAATAAGCAAAAATTAATTAAGGGCCTGCCCGAATAGGTTTGTGGAACGTGGGAGGATGGTCGAACAAAGTGAATGAGAATTCAGACTTCAGAAAATCAATCATCAGCAACCTTAACTTTGATATTACTTGTATCTGTGAAACCTTTCTGAAAAATGATAATCAGCTATATTTATCAGACTCCTTTATTTGGATTGGACACATTAGGAAGTTTCTACATAAAAATGCCAAAAGGGGTTCAGGTGGCGTTGGTATGTTTATTAGGAAATCACTGCTTGAGAACTATGGCTATGACATCCTGGATAAGTCTGTGGAAGACATCCTGTGGGTAAAGTTCACATCACGGAAGGTCAAGGATGAAGTATTTTGTGTATGTGTAGGTTACCTCCCACCAAATGGATCGACAAGCTTCCAGGTTCTCCACGAACAAGAATATCGTTATCAGAACCTAGGCCTACTATATATCTGTGGGGATTTCAATGCTCGCTGTGGGTATAAGGACGATTTTATTGCTGGTGTTGACGACATCCATCCCCGAGAAGTGATTGATGAAACTGAAAATAACCATGGTTACCTACTGATAGACTTCTTAACTGATAGCAATATGTGCATGCTTAAAGTTAATGACTTTACCCATGTGTCATACAGGGGGCAGTCAGTTGTGGACTACGTTGCAGTCCCCTATGAACAATTGAAGTTTTGCCATGATATTAAAGTGCACAGATTGAGCAATCAGTTAGACATACAAACTGGTGACAAGATACTAGATCATGGAGTTATTGAGTGGAGTATTATGACAGATTCATTGTTAGGGTCAGGAGAGTCTCAGGACAACCAGGAACCAAACAGACGTAAATATGACCTTAAATCAGTCCCAATGGATTTTCTGAATGATGATACCGACAGACTATGTGAGAAAGTGAATAGCACAATGGAAGATATTAACACAGCCCTGCAAGAGAATAACATTGACCAAGCCTACAATAATCTTAATAATTTTCTTGAGTCAGAAATGGGAGAAAGGCTCATACCACTAGCTCGGGCAGCTGGAAACTACTCTTGGAAAATGAGACGATGTAAAACAAAACCGTATTGGACCTCTGAACTGACAAACAGCTTTAACTTGTTATGTAGAAAAGAGAAAGACTGGTTAAAGTGCAAAAGCCCTCACACAAAACGAATTCTAAAAGGTGATTTATGTCAACATAGAAAGGAAGGAATTCAATTGACTCCTAAGAAAATCTAAACGCCGATATCAGCAGCAAAAGAAACTTGAATTAGCCACGGACTTGATGCAGAATAAGTGTAATTTCTGGGAGAAGATCGGAAAGATTGGGTCATCAAATTGTAGAAAACAAGCTATATACCATTAGAGATAATCAATAAGACAAGAGACACTGAGGCAGTATTAAACATATGGAGAGGAAAATATTCCAAGTTTAACTCTGATCTAGATTGTGATAACCGATATGACTCTGAACACCTGAAGATATACAAAAAATAGCTCTATGATGATCAACAATTATCAAGTGAAACTACCGTAAATCCTTCACTAAACAGACCAGTTAGTAAGGAAGAAGTTAGGAGTGACATTTTCAGATGTAAACTAGGTAAAGCTTGTGGTCCTGACAACATTCCAGCTGAGGTGCTTCGTAATGTAGTATGTGTTGAACACAGTACACAGTCTACATTGAGGTAGCTCGTTTGTGGTGCAGGCTTGAACGGATGGAAGCAAATAGGCTCAATAATGCTATCCACCAGTGGTCTAAAACTAGAGGAAAATCCTGGGAAAGGAAAGTAGTGAAAATATTTGAGGAACTTAACCTAATAGATGTGCTGACACTATCAACGCAGAACACATTCTAGATCACCAGCAATATTAGAGGAAATCTGTCAAATAGTGATAAACTGAACTGGAGAACTGAAGTAAATAATCTACCTAAATTAAGGACATACAGGTTGTTTAAACATGATTTGTGTACGGAATCGTACGTAACACTCCCACTACCACTAAGATCAGTTGTAGCATCTCCGAGGTGTGGATCTCTTAAACTAGCCTTAGAAACGGGCAGATTTAGCTCTCCTCCAATCCCAGTGGGTGAACGTTACTGTAAACTATGCAACACTCAGAGTATAGAGGAAGAGAAACAT